TCTTGTCGCCTGAGGGTCCCCAAGCAATTAAAAGATAAGAAGGCTCAGTCGGGGAGTGTGAATCTGCAAAATGTGATCAGAAAGATAATGCACTGGAGAAAAATATGTTCCAGGCAGCCGGCGTGGAGACAGATTAATTGGGAATGTAAATACCAACATGTTCCGCTTATTTTTAAGGATAGATATCAGACCTCAGGATGTTTGAAGTTCATTCTGGGAAATAACATTTTCTGGTTGTCTTCGTCAGATGTTTTAATTATACTGAAGCATTTTAGGGTAATCACTTTCAGTGGTTATACTCTTTCTGACATAGTGCGTAGTTTATTTTTATGTCTGTAAGTCACATTAATAGTTTCAAATGGCTTCACACACTTATATTGGACAGTGTCGTCTAGCAAGTGGAGGAAAATCTCCTTAAAAATTGGAAATAATAGAAGAAGGTGAACTTTCCTCAAGTATTACCAAGTGGGCAGCTAGTAAATCTATCATCTATTGTAGCTTAGGGCGTAGGGTATAGGTTTGAGTTTGACATTGGTGGGGACATGAAAGCGGTCTGTAGGGCCCCACCAGGAAGTAGACTTCTGACCACAATTTCATGCACTCTGTTATGGAGGACCCGCTCCCCCCTGTTGGTATAAAACGCTCATTCTAAGGTAATGAAAACATTAGTGATTACATGCTAAAGAAAACATACTTACAACATAAACATACTTGCAATATTCTGCAAACAGACCATCCTAAATCTTACACTCTTTGGCTGCCATCCTGATGGTGAGTATATCACCAAACAAAACAAACACACATATACACACACAAATGTTTTGATCAAAATTATTGCAGGGACAATTCAGTAGTTGCTGGACATGTCACACCATCCCTACCAAATTCTAAGTCCTTGAACTCAACCTGCATTACCTGATTTGATTGATCCACACAGGGCAGTGCAACAAGCTGTAAATACAAATTGCCGTTATTACAGTATAAAGTTATTATGGCAAACTTGTTAGGAAAAAGGTGGCTATTTACACAGAGGGGCAATTAGAATCATGTTTGTGTCCACCTAGCAAATTTGACTTGAATACTCACTCTCTTTGAGCTCTGTTTTTGGTCTCCACCAACTTCTGAGGGAAATACCTGGCTCTTTAGCTGCTAAATGCTCCGCTAAGTTCACCAACTAGTCGCTAACTTTGACTGTCCGTCGTTTGGTGCTGGGTAGGTACTGTACAGTAAACACAGCTGCATGCTTTCGGTGGAAACAAGGTTGATGAGAGAGTGAACCAAAACAGTAAAGATGGTGGCCATAAAAACAAAAACAATGAGCTGAAAGACACTCAGTCACATGATAATCTCTGTGGGCTTGTCACTATGAGAGGCCCCTCTCACATTATACAGTCATGTGATTCATTGTTCTTTGTGATTAACTGTTTTAAAGGAAACACGATCCATTATTGTTATACATTATATCCCTGCTATAACATCTATCTCTATAATGGTAATCATTTTAGTTTTTAGTGACATTGTCGGAAATGTGTAAACTCAGTTATATTTTATTATTGTTTATTACTGAGGTCATAGTTAAAGGTGGTGTAATACCGGACTGCATTATATTGAGAGATGTTTTTTTAATTTTTTGTTATGCTGTTGACATAAGTGAGGGGAACAGAATATCGTAAACACCTCTGAATATAATGCAGTCCATTACAACACCATCACTAACTATGACCCCAATGCTACACAACATAGAATTAACAACTTTGACAAAAGCTGAATATTATAGGCATCATAAAACAAAATGTAGTGGCAGAACAGTTGTATGGGATGTTTTTAAGCTGACCAGGTGTACTTAATAAAGTGGCCACTGAGTGTATTTTCGTACTCAAACATCTGTCTTGCTTTCCCGCATTTCCTACAGCCTCCTCCAACATATGAAGAGAGCATCCGCCAGTCTGTGGAGCTGCCATATCACATCCACTCATCTGGTCTGGACATCTCCCCTCCTCAGAGCATCTACACCAGCACAGGGCCAAACACACATCACCCAGTGAGCTCTGACACCAACAGCACTGTTCTACCGGTGTGATGCTGATCAGGTTGCCTGGTGAACGGGAAAGAAATGCGATAGCTTTATACAGACAGCGAACATGATTGGATCCTTCACACAAGCTGATTCACATACCTCAAGAGTGAGTCGATGCTGATAGACAGCTGATAATGGAGAAACCAAAGAGGAGCTGCGCACCCTTCAAGAAAGGACACAGTTGGCTGTGCACAAATGAATGTTAAAAACACTTGACGGTGGACTCTACGATCACTGGATATTCACATTTACTGAGGTGGCTGGTACATCTTGAAGAGGACGAGGAAGAAGACTACAGGACTACAACATACCAAAAAGGGATTTACTTTGTTGATTAAACTCTGTCTGTAAACACTTGCCTGTGTGCTCTCTGTTGTTCCTGAGTCAGAGGCCTTCAGTTTCAGGTCATCAGTGACCTGTTTGATTAGGAGTTGCTGTAAAGGACGACTCTGTACCCTGCTGAGGCCGTGCCATGCTGCTCCTGCCTGTGAGAGGGAGAGTTAAAAAGAAAGATATGCTAATGAGAGTGAAGACATATATCACAACAAAAGTTTTTCTAACCACTTTGCTTCAGTTGTTTTATTCTGATAAGGCACATGGGAATTTCTCACTTTCTTATGAAACATTTCATCCTTTTTGGTATCAAGTCTATTGTTCTGTTCTGCGAAAGGCTTCAAGGAGCAGAGTGAGTGTGAAACTAAAACAATGGAGAGTTTCTTGTCAAGGCCTGTTATGTTTTCCTGTTATATTTTCTGCAACCTGCCACGTACACATACCAAATGTTTGTCCCGCACATTATCGTGTACTGTATTTATTGAAGCAAAAAACAAAAGAGTGACTCCTCAATATTTCTCATGTGTAAAACAAATGTAATAAACACTTTTATTGTTTTGTTGGTGGACTATTGTAATTGTATAGCAGTAACACATAATTAACATCAACAAACACAGATCAGTAGTAGTAGTACCACTCAGGTACTAAAGGCTGACCTTTCACAGTGTCGTTATGTTTCCATGGTTATACTCTAGCTACAGTATGTGTATGTGTAGGTGTGTGAAAGACAGAAAGGGAAGATTCATGGGAAAGTAGACTTTTGTCCAACTATATTCTCATACTTCTTAAATTAATTTACTGAGAAATACATACACCTTCATCACCCTGATTTTAATTGAAGCTTCTTGGATGTTCTTCCATTTTCCCTCCAGGTCTTTTTCTGTCAGCTGTAAACTGCAGTAATGTACCATGAGACTGCACACTATCAGAAATGTATCTCAGCAATAGCAGTCATCAGAATAAAAGCTAAACAAGATTAGTCATTAATTATTTTCTTATTGCCTTATTGGCTTCTGTTGGCTAAACACATTGTCCCAGATATGTTCCAAATATCTAATGAGCATCAGTCCTATTTACTTTGCTGTGTCTTCACTGTTAAAGGACAATGTTTGAGTCTCCATTGTAACCAGCAGTGTGTTAAATATTATTTATTATATTTATATAATTTATATATATATTTTATATATTTTATTTATTATTATTATTAGATTTGACCTTATTTAACTATTACTATAACCACTGAAGGTATACTCTTCTTGAGCTTGACAGAAACAAATATTTCCAAATAAATAATATGTAGCTTGCTCCTCGTTCCACCACCCAAGGCAGATGAATGAGAAACATGCATACTATTAAAATCAAGAAAGTGTATTTATTTCTCAGTAGATGAAGAAAAGCCTATTGAGATGTATTAAGAGTGGATCACACGACCATGTTTAATGTTAAAAGGGGTATTTTCTCAAGGTCCACAGGATGTGGAGCCTCTAAGCATAATAGTGCCCCATAGAGCCGTCCCCTTTGAATGAAATAGACAAAGATATCACTGTGTGTGAAACTCAACTGTTACCCTAAAAAAATACTAGTTTGATATTAGCCGACAAACTGTGTTGTCCTCATCTCTAGCATCTTTATCTAATTAAAATATACGTTTTACACCAGCTGGAAGAGGTCCGGTGTTTTTATCTTCTGTGAAAATCCTAATGCTTGAAATGCAAGTTTTCTCAGTTATGACTGATGATCTAGGACAATTTTAAACACATTCAATCACATAAGCAGTGATTACATGAGCCTAACTTTTTAATTAGACATGAGCAGCAGACCAATATTCCCTATTTTATTCATATTTTGCTTATCAAGTATATAATCATTAAGTCAGTGCAGTAGTCTACACTATAAATATGTATCAGGCTTAAATTCAAAATACTATCATCACTTCAACTCTTGCTGGTCTGAAGTTAAGAAAGATATTAACCCCTTATGTAATTAAAGTAGAAATACAACAATGTAGAGAAAATATTACTTAGATAGGAGTACATCAGACAGAAGTATCATCAACAAAAGCTACTTAAGGTATCAAAAGCAAAAACATTTGTTATGCAGCAGAATGACTCCTGAATTATATTATTATATATGAGTATTAAATAACCGATGTATAAAGATGTAAAAAGGATGTAAAAAGGATGTTATATCTGGTCATGGTGGGGCTAATTTTAACAACTGATCATATGTTATTAATGCCAAATCTCTATCTGCAAAGTAACTAGAAACTAGAAACTATAGCTGTAGTGGAGTAAAAAGCAGGTTTAGCCTAAAGAAGAGTAACAGAAGATGCAAACACTCATGTAAATAGGCTAGTATAGCCTACTTCAGTACAGTACTAGAGTAGCCTAAATGTACTTAGTTACTTTCCACCACTGTTAAAGAATCTATGTTTACAGCCAGAAATCACTTTTATTCCAAAATGCAAATTCCACAGTGGAGGAGAGTCTCCCTTTAAACCTGTGTCAGCAGCAGCGTCACCACGACCTTACAAACATGGCGGCGCGCGTTGTCCACCGGAGAATCTCGCACGTCACTGACGGACAAAACCGAACACTCGCGACCGGCCGACTGCCAGTCTTGTATGTAAACAAGGTCAGACACTGCAGCACACAGAGCAACCACTCTCTGGACCGGGCAGGGGGTCGCTTTTAAAGCAAGACGAAGCTTCTTTTTACCAAACCTCTGAGGAGAAAGGTAGGCTGTGCGTCATGCGCGCGTTATGATCAACGGTAACTTATGTTATTTGTCTTGTCGTGCAGGACGCACTGCAGGGACGAGTTATATGACATTATTTGTATATACATGTATTAAATATGTAATTCTGTTACATGCACAGCTGTAGATGAATCCGTTTGCACCCCGTAGAAGGAGTGGAACTGCCTCTATAACCTAGATTTGCCGCAAAGTCACACGGTAGGTGTGTGTTTACCTCATGCGCAGTCATCAGCTGGCCTCTAACTGGGTCGCTCTGTAAAAGCTGCTTGGTCATGATTTCCCACGACACTAATAGGCCTAAACCTGTCTAACAGGGCATTTCCTTTTCAATTGCTTTTATCAATTCCAACATTTTGTCCACTACAGCAAAACAACTTATTTTGTATTTATAGTGTTTGCCCTCAGCTTTGTATGAATCAGCATTGCTGCATTATAAGATCCACGTACACAGTCATACAGTACATTAACAGTTGTACAACAAGTGCTGCTGTTTGTGGAGCTTGATTGAGCTGATCCAGAGCAAAGATATATTAGGCTGTGTTTGATAAAACTGTAGAGAAACCCTAGTTTTGTAACATGAATTGACACATAATTAATGCAAGTGCATTCACCCACATCATCCTCAGTGTGGTTTGGCACAAAAGAAAACTGAGCTCAGGTATTTCTTCTGCAGATGACAATGGAGAGAAAGTGAGAGGGGCATAAAAAGAAAATGAGACAGAAAGAGACGACACAGTCAGACTGGCAGCTGAGTGTGCAAGTGTACAAGGCCCAGTCACGTTTCAGACTGCCTGCTTTTTACTGCTCGATTGTGCTACAGTTAATGATCACATATGTGTTCTGGCCTCTGATGTGACCTCCTGAAAAGCTGCCTGCTGGACACTCGTGTCTCACCAGAGACAATGTGCCTGTATCAACTTTATATGTTTAGTGATGCCCGCTAAAGAGAAGGCCACCAACACCGCTCGCTTTTTAATTAGCTGTTGTGATCACGCTCAGATGTTATGCTTTCTCAAGGGCCCTGTGAACTTTCCATCACGTGTTTAATGATTTACATGACACGCTGGTGTTTTGGGAGTCAACATTAGTGGTGCTCCAGTTTACAGGCTGACACAGACCGCAAAGATGTGACCTTTTAAAGGACTGAACCCGTAGGCTGATGAGGCAGTGTCACCAAAACTAATGATGCATTTGGGCTTCAACACATAACGTCAACATTCAAAAGTTAAAATGTAACTTGAAATGTCCTGTGTCAAGTTGCCAGGGCTGCTAAGAAGAACAAATGATCTTTACTGCTAAATAAGACATGGTCATACCATTTTCTAAACTTACTGCATTTGTTTTATTCTCTGTAGAACTCTGTTAAAGACCAGCCAAGATGATGCAGTGTTTTCACTTTATGGTGGAGCCGGCCAAAACCTTAACGGCCAAGATAAAGGTAACAAGTTTTGGTTGTGTGTTTAATGTGCAAACCTGTTTTTTTGGGTCACCTTGATACCTAAGTAGACAGCTGATGTGATAGCATTATTTAGTACCATGTGACTGCACGCATTTTTCCTAACAAGAGAGAGCTAGAGTTGTTGGGGAGATGAATCAATGCCAGGCAGTCTGGAAGGGAGGGGTGTCTATCTTTTCTACTGACAGGAACAGAGCCACAGTCTGCATTTTGATCAGGCAGAGTGACCACCTCCTTTCTAATTTGATCTCATTACTCTCTAACATACTTGTAAAGCAGCACTAATGTCCTCCAAATGTCTCTCTTTGCAAACAGTTTCCCACAAAAAAATCCTTCAATTTTTTTGTTTACTGGCAGGAATCACACAAGAGAGCGAAGAAGGAGAAGAGGGAGCCTCTGGATGAGGATCAGTTGTTTGTCGTGGAGCTGGCAAGAGATCTCAGCCGAGTGTGCCAGGTAAGAGTTCACTTGTGAAACCAGAAGTTCTTTTGGCATAGACAACCATTAATAGTTTTTAAACATTACTGAGCTGTGCAATGTCCTTATGATCGCAAACGAGGGACCATTAGACCATGAGAGTTTGTCTTTACCTCTCTCTACCTATCAACAACTTCATGTTTCCCCCTGTGTTTTACCACTGCAGAGGTCAGCAGTCCTGGAGCACATCTGGAACCAGGATGACACCTGGCCAACCTCTCTCTGCAGGGCCTTCCTCCTACAGTGGGCCTCCATGCTAGAGAGCAAGGTGCTCATCTTAATATAACTTTACTTACTGAAGGCATAGAAAGGTTTATTCACTAAAGTGTGTATGTTTCTCCATGCAGAAGAGGCCCATGCAGACAGACGGCTGGCCAGAGATGGGTGAGGGAAAACACCCTGATATGATTAATGAGCAGGACCTGCTGCAGGCTAAAACTGTGATCCTCAACTGGATCAAGGACCTGAGAGCTCAGCCTGAGGTGGGAAGCTCAGACATACATATAACATGTCCTGTTCACTTGCCTCTGCTCGTTCAACAAAAACGTGTTCACATTTCTGTTCATGCTGATCATCCTGCAGCAAAGTGTGTGGCCTGGGGAACCTGTGGCAAAGGTTCTGGAGGACCTGCAGTCAGCCTGGCGATGGGGTCGCGTGGCTAATCTGCTGACTGCTATGGAGCTGGTTATGTGGACTTTAATGGTGCAGCGCCCAGATAAGGTAGAAGTCCATGTAACAACTTAACCCCTTGTGTATTATCTGCAGTTCATCAGTTTGTATTGGGCAGGTGTAACACAAATCTGTTTGCAGGATACCATCCCGCAGCAGTGGCTCATGTGGAAGCAGAGAACGCAGAAGATTGGTTTGTAAATCAATACTGAATCAAGTAGAATTTTATAGTAAATCTAGGGACTTTCACTAATTTATGAGACTGCAATTATCTGCTTCCAGGTGCCATATCCTACATCCCTCAACCAGGTGAGAAATACACTGTATATGCATATGCACACATGAAAACTTTTAACTGCTTTTTCAGTTACTTTCAAATGATTTAAAACCATTACATACAACCTCTTAATACTGCTCTTTGTATGGACCATACTCTCTTTGGCAAAAATATATTTAATTGTAGTTTTGCACAATCCAAATGTATGAACATCCACAAGGCACATTATAAGTAAAGAAGGTGGACAACGTGCACATTCAACTCCCGTTGGGTACTGGTGCAGTACTGCCAGTAGGACTGGGAAAAAAATGTTATCACGATAAAAAATGTCTGTCAATAATGATAATTATCATTATTATAATTGTTTTTTTTCTTTCAAGAGTTTTGCTCCTGGGTGAAAGTTGAAGAAAACAGACGGTTAATTGTTTGTTTTAAACTACACTTTATATTCAGAACAAACACTTCATGCCAAACAGTGGATCATTTCACAAGTCTGAGGTAAAACATTCAAAACAATTACAATGATAAAATCTTTTTTCAACAAATGCACATGAGGAAAATCTTTTTTCAGTCCTTTTTCCTCAACTAAATAAATATCTTAATAATAAAATTAAATGCTGATTAGTTTGTGATTCAAATTTATTAAATCGAACATTTATTTTACACTATTGAAGATACTGGAACAGTACAAGATCTTCTTCTGGCAAACATCCATTAGAACAAAAAAACAGGCAGACAAAAAAAAGACACTAAGACCAATACAAAATAACACTCATATCTATACTGTGTGTTGGGGATATCATATTTTGTATACAAAACATTGCATCAGTTAACATTTTGGGAGCTTTCAGTGCAGACAACATCATCACAGTATCTCTTTGTAACATTAGTGTGTGATCAGACAAACATTTCTTAAAGTCCTCTGTTTTTTTCCTGTTTTTTTTGCAGTGTGGGATTGGATCTCAGATGCTGCAGGTAACAGTATTCATTTGATCAAAAAATTAGTCGGTATAAACTTAACAGAACTGAATTTAAACCTCTCAACGTTTCCCTCTAGTGGAGGTGACTCTGGATCTGGACACAGCCAACCCTGATCTGCTCATCTCCACTGACGAGAAGAGGATGCGCTGTGGCTTTGAGAGGAAGGAGGTTCCCAACTACCACCAGCGCTTCGACGGGTGGTGGTGCGCTGTCGGGGTTGAGGGCTTCAGCTCTGGCCGCCACTACTGGGAAGTGGAGGTGGGTGAGCGGGACTGGCGGCTGGGCGTGGCCAGAGAGTCGGCCCTGAGGAAAGGCTTCAAGTCCCTGAACACAGATACGGGGTACCTGACCCTGCGGCTGGAGAGGGGCACTGAGCTGAAGGCGTTGACGGTGCCCTTCACCGCTCTGCCTCCCGGCCTCATCTCTCGCAAGGTGGGCATCTACCTCGACTACGACCGCGGCCAGTTGTCCTTCTACGACGTGGACAAACGCTTCCACATTTACACCTACAACGAGAGCTTCGATGAGAAGCTTTTCCCCTTGTTTGGTACAGTGGAGATCCTCAAGGATCTGGTGATCAAGTCTCCAGCAGCTAAGACCCAATGTCTGTGTCCCACAACCTGCTTCTGGGGTTGAGTTTCCTCCTGTCACCTCTTCCTTTAGAATCCAGTAGATGTCATAATAATAATAATAATAAGTCTAACAAATCAGGTTATATAATAATCACTGGGAGGAATCAGAGAGCCTGATGTAAAAGACCATCATTGTCCTATTGAATAGCTCCACCATGTGACCACTCTCTATGCTGCTGCTGCTTTAATGTGATGATCGTTGCAAACACTTCCTCACTATAGAGTTATAATGCTACAACTTGCTCACATACATATTGTATTTTCATATATTTGAAAAGAAACCTATAGCATTAATGTGATGGATTGTTCAATATTAACCCTGCAGTAAGAATGCACATCTGTGAGTAATAAATAAACCAAATCCATGTCTTTCTTTTTGTTCTGTTTATTAGCACATTAGGCATTACATCATGATCCATATATATCACAAACACAGGAATCAAGAATTCAGACCTGAGAGCTGAATTGTTTGGTGCATAATCAAACCCAGTCCATGATAGGTAGGTCTTGGGAAATCTCTCTTGTGTCTCTGCAGTCCACATCCTTACCATGAAATATCTGGAGTGCACTTACCTGCAGAACATGGCTGCAAGTTTCAAAATATGGAAAATATGTCAATTGGGAAAAGTGTGTAAAATGATTCACAATATTTCAGTATCAGAATCATGTATGCGCAGTTCAATGTTGAGAGACCGACTGAATTTCTGTGATGACTTCGTGAGATTAATATGTCACACTATACTAGGTGTTTGCACTAAAACACACACCTGAAGCTTCTACGATCTTGACACTCTCTTTTAAAGATGTGTGTGTAAAAATGTAGCTTTCCTCACTTCAGTTATGTGCTTATATAGGTTATATCGCCAGAGGTGCAAAGTAACCAAGCACATTTGTACAAGTACTGTACTTAATTTAGACGTACTTGCACTTTACTTGAGTATTTCCATTTTGAACTTCTTTATACTTCTACTCTGTTACAACTCTGAGGGAAATAATGTAATCTTTACTTTTTTTCACCAAATTTCAATTTTCACATTTATGCGATATCTTTGGTCGCTAGTACTAAACAAGTAAATGATGATGTATTATCATTGGTTAAGAAGATAAACTTTATTGATCCCAGAGGAAATTCACAAGCTATCCAGCATTATTATTAAAGTAGCAACTCCATCTTTATCAGCTGCAACAAGATGTACACATTAATGCATCAATAATTATTATACAAAAATAAACATTATTCTGACATGGGCCATTCTACATAATGAGTTATTTTACATTTGATACTTTAGGTTTATCTTGATGCTAATACTAGTACTTTTAGACTGTATTTCTAGACTGTGGTATTGCTACTTATACTTAAACCATGACTGCCTATCCCTGGGCCAAATCTGAGGCCATTAGTGTTTCAGTACAGAAAAACTGTACACACTACAGTGACAGTGGGGGGAACAGCAGCACATGTGTGAAACATGGCCCTCTAGCTGGCCAAGTTTAGAATATTGAGTGGTTGCTAATGAGGTAATTTCTGAATATGTTTCTCATTTGCTTTGAATGGTTTTATTGCACAGGTAATTTTGAACACCAGCAGTGCATTCTGGGTGAAACAGGTGTTATCTCAGCATTCACTTAAACTACTTACCAGCAGACTGATGAAAAACAGATGTTGGTGATCTGGTTATGAAGCAACTAAAATGTTGTCAGTACATGTGAACAGGTGGTTATTTAAATTTTGTCTTTTGTAAAACAATTCAGACTCCCCGCATGAATCTGGCTGCAGACATTTGCTCCCATTCAGCATGAGAGCAAGAGCATTATATTGAGGTTAATGTTGGGTCGACATCATGTCAACGTTCTGGTTCACCCCAAAGGTGTTGGATGTGATTGATGTCAGGGCCCTGTGCAGGCCAGTGAAGTTCTTCCACACCAAACTCAGAAACTAATTTGTTTATGTAGCTGGCTTTGTGTACAAGAACATTGTAATTTGGAAAAAGTGGAGCAACAGTATTGTCATTGTATGCTGTAAGATAGAGATTTCTCAAGATTGAGAATTTTAGCACAACAGGGGTGGAAATAAAGTAGACCTACATTTACTCAACTACTGCAGCTAAGTACAATAATAATAATAATAATAATACAAATATACTAAAAAACAAACAAATGAATCACTAAACGAAAAACGTTTTTGCGTTTCAGTTGTAATTACGTCATCGGTGTGCGACGACTTCAAAGGGGTTTATTTATGAGTTCTTTACGGACGTACAGACGATGACAACAACTTTAAAACAAGCTTTAAAAACCCACTTCGGGTTTGACAATTTTAGGTCTAAACTACAGGAAGATGTTGTCAAAGCAGTCATCAGAGGTAAGTGAGCGAGCGAGCTGTTTATCTGCTGTGGGGACGTTAGTTTATCTCCATGCTAACGTTAGCTGGCTCGTAGCAACAGGCAAAATTTCGCTGACCTTTTCCTTGATAGTTAGATAAGAGGCTCAGTTTGAATTATCTCTCACAGGTAGTGTTGTCAGGGAGAGAGAGAGAGAGAGAGTAATGTATGGCATGGTGGTGACTGCTGTTGTCTTCCTTCAGGGGACAAAGATGTGTTTGTGTGCATGCCCACTGGAGCAGGAAAGTCCCTCTGCTACCAGCTACCTGCAGTTCTGGCTGAGGGTATTACTCTGGTTATATCCCCGCTGATCGCTCTCATTCAGGTCAGCTTATTCAAATGCTTTACATACATGTATGGTTTTGTGTGTGGTGCCAGTTGTGTTAATCCCCTCCTGTGTTCCCCCTCCAGGACCAAGTGGACCGCCTGAAGGGTCTCAACATCCCTGCCTGCTCCATCAACTCCAAGCTCCCAGCAGGCGAACGCCGTCTGATCCTGGCTGATTTAGGGAGCAGCTGCCCCAAGCTCAAGCTGCTCTACATCACTCCAGAGATGGTGGCCTCTCCCTCGTTCCAGCCCTGCCTGACAGGCCTGTGCTCGCGCGGCCTGCTGTCTTACCTGGCTGTGGACGAGGCACATTGCGTCTCCCAGTGGGGACACGATTTCAGGCCAGACTACCTCAAATTGGGTGAGCTGCGTGCTCGCTTGCCGGGGGTTCCCTGTTTGGCCCTGACAGCAACAGCGCCCAAGAATGTACAAGAGGACATTATACAGTCCCTGAGGCTGCGCTCGGCGTTGTCTTTTGTCACACCTGTCTTCCGCAGTAACTTGCACTATGATGTGATCTTCAGAGAGCTGCTGCCAAACCCCTACGTCCACCTCCACGCCTTCATTCAGAAGGCACTGACACTGGACAGTGGGTCTTATGGACAGGTTGGTAGACGTGTGTGGTCATAGGGTTGTTTGTGTGAAACTATTCCTTTTCTGTGAATGATAGATCACCAGCCACATGAGGCATCTACTTTGTAAAGATTTACATATATTAAAATCACGTAGTAGTTTGCAGTAGACAAAGAGCAGCACATTGAAAAGAGATTGAGAATAGCCATGGTTAGCCAAAGGTTTTCAATACAGCCTACTATTTCTTCATTAAGTGTTTGTATGTGCAAGAAAAGCCCTTAGCGGATTTGAGGAAAATATAATAAAGCCTTAAAAAGTCTAGATTTTTTAGGTCAATGCCGATATCTACTGTATATCTCGGTAAAAAAAAAAAAATCCAATAATGATATTAGTCTTTAATCATTGTATATACACACATAACCTAAAATAACTTTTCAGTGCTCTCACATGGAAAAACTATGTAATATGCTGATACTGATATATCTCAGAGGAGCTAAGTTCAAACGATAATATTTGGTGTGCGTTTTCAAAAAAACGTATCACCTAAATGTCTCAGCTCTCTGAATCTAATCGTCAAATGTTTGCTTTGAAATAGTTTTATTTCTCAGTGTAATTTTGTCTAGTTCAAATCTTTTTTTGAGCTGTTGAATTTCACTCAACTTCAACTAAAAGTTGTGACTAAGACATTTGCTGGAAGCAGGGCATTTTACGCCCTCCCATCCTTGATATGTTTCTCTACCAACTCGCTAAGCAACAAGAAACGGCCGTACAGATATGTCACAGATGTGTTTAAGATCATTTACTGTAAATGGGTCCCTTCAGAACATACCAGGGTCTCAATTTTGTTAAAAGTTTAAAGGATCCTTATAAAAACGTTTGTGTGCTGATATGTCATTGTCTGAAAGTTCTCTATCACTATTGATACCAGCCTCAATTAAAAAATTCTTGTTTTCATGCCACCTGTCACGTAGCCTTATACCAGTTAATCTGTGATGAGCCAATATTAGCTGATATTTTCCCTTGAATATAAGCGTAGGAGCCCTGGTTTCTTTAACCTACTGTATGTAATATTTGTGAACAGGGTTGTGGGATTGTGTACTGTCGGACCAGGGAAGGCTGTGAAACTGTGGCTTACCAGCTGACCAAGCTTGGAGTCTTGGCCAAGCCTTATCACGCAGGTTAGACTTTTTTCCTCCATGTAGCGGTAGGATCAGAAAATGCCAAGATCTGGGCTCAGATGCTTGCCTTCTGTTTTTATACTGTAGGTCTGAAGGCAGGAGATCGCACAGAGGCCCAGAATGAGTGGATGCAGGGGAAGGTGCTGGTTATCGTAGCCACCATCAGCTTTGGTATGGGAGTAGACAAGGCCAATGTCAGGTGAGGCGATGAGGTTTTGCTGTGTTGGACACAGAATTTGAGTTTGTATGTGCTAATGTTTTTTGTTAATCCTGCAGGTTTGTGGCTCATTGGAACCTCGCGAAGTCCCTGGCCAGTTACTACCAAGAGTCTGGGCGAGCTGGAAGGGACGGACTGCCCTCCTCCTGCCGCACGTACTACTCCGCAAAAGATAAGGAGCAAATTAACTTCCTCATCCGCCAGGAGGTTGCCCGCAAACAGGTCAGCACGTTAACAGAAAACTCAAAATGTGAGGAGCTCCTGTAAATAAAACTCTGCATCGTTTCAAGGTTTGTGAACATTTTAACTTGTCCGCAGGAAAAACGTGGCTCTGCGAAGGAGACGGACAAAACAGCCATAACAGACTTTGAAGCCATGGTGTCCTTCTGTGCACAAGAAGGGTAAGTGAAGCGTCCAGCGCAGCCGTGCATGCATGCAAGTCGATTCTTGTTTATTGCGTACAAATCAAGGTTAATAAAACCACATCATTACATAATGTCTCCACTCTTAGCACATATATAAAATGCAGGTGTATACATGAAAACTGCCATTACACACTGTTAATACATTCATAATCCATTTCAGTTTGTGTACAGCAGATGGCAGACTTCATCTCTCTTCTTTGTTGTGAAACATGTCAAGGAACAATTTCAGTTTGGAAAACAGTTTCTCCCTGTAGGAGGATCTTTCTGTAA